CATGGAGAAATAGGTTTAAGATGGCTAACTAAATTATTTAATATCGAGACGAAAAGAATACTGGATTAGTGGATAATTAGTATTTTGAAATTGCAAAATATAGAAAAGAAAAAAAAATTGTAGTGGCGTTTAAGTCAATAAGTGTTTCATCCCTAAGAGTTGAAACTACATGATGTTGTAAATACTTTCCCAAAAAGCTTTCCAAAGAGCTGTGAATGCAATATAAACAATTGCAATTTATTTTACTATGTTTGCAGCAAAGCAAACATATACAATGTTGCACTGCAATATCCGATATCACAGGTTGGCACCGTAAGAAACAAAATGAGGACGGTAAGTTTAGAATTTCGTAAATCACTCAAATGACAATCCCATTCCCATACTGATATCGCGTACAAAAGTAATAACAAAACAAACGAACAATAATCAGAGCGTACCGCAGTGCAAGGGTATTTTCGGTAACACAGTGATGTCAGCGAGCGACATTTGGTGGGCCGAAGCGGACACGTGTGGACATCCCCCAGCAGTAGAAGAACCGCTCCATGGCACTCGCCACGTACACAGGCTCACGTATGGCGCACGTGAACGAAGCTGCCCCGCAAAAGAACTTCCCATCTTCTCCACTCTCTATCCCCCTCTTCTTTTAAAAACCTCTTTCCTCTCTTCAAAATCTCACCGCGGCCTCCGGTCGGTAACCTCAGCCTTACGATCACCGGGTCGGTGACCAGAACCTATGTCTATCACTATAAATACGACGGCCTCATCCTTTTAGTTGAGCCGTAGATCGAGCTACTATTTTCTCTGTTTTTTTTAATCTACTTCTCGAGAGAAGCTTCTAGAATCAAGGTTTTGCAATCTCCGATGGCGCCATTGCTAGGGTTTTGAGACCGAATCCAATTTCAGATGAAGATCCAGCCGATCGATTCGAGATCGTCGATCAAGAGCGATCCGGCGAAGCCCGGGACGAGATCAAGACTGAAGAGGCTCTTCGAGCGGCAGTTCCCGAAGCTCGCCGGCGATGGGAAGGAGAAGGGCAAGGAGAAAGACGACGGCGGCGATCTTGAACCGAGCTCTGTTTGCCTCGACAAGCTCGTCGTGAGTTTCATGGAGGATGGCAATGAGAAGTCGGTGAAGTGCGGCCGAAGGCGCTGCACCTGCTTCAATGGAAACTGCGATGACAGCTCCGACGATGAATTCGCCGGCGATTCCCCTCCGATTGCCGCCGCTGGATCCGGGGACCCGCTGGAGATCATTAACGTAGTATTTTTTATCTTGTAAGATACTTGATGTAGTTTTTTTTTGGTCAAAATTAGATAGTTATGTTCCTAATTTGCAGGGTTTAGTTCCGTGCGAGAGCCTAACGGAGCGCAATCTGTTGGCGGACACATCAAAGATCGTGGAAACTAATAAAACCAAGATCGGAAAGGGTAAAGATGATTGCATCAAGCTCGTAACTGAAAAATTACAGTCTTTAGGTTATGATGCCTCCATCTGCAAGTCTAAATGGGATAAAACCCCTTCGATTCCAGCTGGTACGTTTATTTCAGGAAAAAAAATCCCTCCTTTCTTATTGCTATCTCAGCTAATTAGGTCTATTTTGCTAAATTAGGAGAATACGAGTACATTGATGTGATGATCGATGGCGATCGCTTCATTCTCGACGTCGATTTCAGATCGGAGTTCGAGATCGCGCGATCGACGAAAAGCTATCGCGCCCTGCTCCAGTCTTTGCCTTTGGTCTTCGTCGGCAAGCCCGACCGCGTTCAGAAGATCGTGACTGTTGTTTCCGAGGCAGCGAGGCTGAGTCTCAAGAAGAAGGGGCTCCATTTCCCGCCATGGCGGAAGCTTGAGTACCATGAAGGCCAAAATTGGCTCGCTCGCCTACAGAGGATGGCGGAGCCTAAATCTCCGTCACCGGGCCCCTACTGCGATCTCAGCCGTTAATTTCGACGGCGAGTTGAGATGGCGAGGCGTGGTCCCCAGAAGTCGGAGAAGATAACGGTGCGTGGTCTCTCAGTGGAACCCCCGCCCGGGAGGCCCAAGTCAGCGACGGCGGGAGCTAAGGTCGTCACTGGGTTATCTTCTGTTTTGACGGAGAAGTCGCCGTCACCGACCAAGTTTTGAATTTTACAATTTACTCCCTCTTTTTCTGGTCATTTTAGTTTTTTTTTTTAAAACCCCTTCCAAGTCTATGGTGATTAGTGTGAGCTATGAATGTCCCTAAATCACCGCATGTTTCGGTTTTCTCCCTTAATTTGGAAACAGGGCATGTAAGAAGAGAAATTAACTCAGTGACTTTACTAATATAACTACCACTCCATATGATTCCTATGAGAGTATATAGTATCCTATAAATAATCCCTTTGCTGGCATCGTTTTGTGTAGTTTTTTTTTTTAATAATTTTTTTTAAAATTTTATCGGGTTCCTTTTGCTGAAGTATTCAACTGGCGGTCTCTCCAAGGGAAGCAAAGCGTGAGGCAGAATAAAGTAGACTTGAAAGCTACCCCCGCTCTTCGTATTTTATAACTTCCACTTCCTTCTTCAATGAATTTTTTTTTTTAATTTTTATAATGTGCCACTTCTGAATAGGAAAATAATTAAGAGGCCAGGTGACGGTTACTAAGCTCGTGCCGTCTCGATCCCTGCGCGCGCGTCACAAAACGAAGTACATGAGAAACGTGTGACCTCTCTCCCAAGCTATATGCTCTTGTTTTCCCCCCACCCCTTTTTCCATCTTGTGCTTGTGAAACAAGCGGAGCCCATTTAGAGGTTTGCGTTAGATTTCTGCGTTCTGGACTGTTCCCAATGAGGTAATGACGCCACTGTCCTTGAGAGTGGTGGAAATTGCTCGGGAGAAGTAATGGCGGTTGATGGTGATCGATAAAAATCCCAACTTTGACGTGCACGTGTCGGTTATGGCAGTTGATGGAGGTCGATAAAAATCCCAACTTTGAGGCGCATGTGTCGGTTTGCTTCTTTTGCTCTTTGTGCAGCTGCTCCCACTGATATCTTGTGGGTGGTGGTGTGCACTATGAGAGAGAGAGAGAGTAAAACTTGTGTCAACTTAAGTGGATAGCAAAAAGTTATCCACCAAACTTTTTAGCCACTCATATTACCTAGTGATCCTTGCATGATATGAAAAAAAATTATATTAATAAATGAGTTACGAAGTTACGAAGTTGTCCCTTTGATGGGACTGAGCTTGGTTACTGCGCCTCTCCCTATTTATTCCCAATTTCTCCATCATTAATCACAACTCTCTCTATCACCCCTTTATCTCTCGACTTCTCCTTCTCTCTCACTTCCGTCATGGCCATTGAAAATGATCAGGCTCTGGGGAGGGCGTGGAAGGCGAAGGCGAGGACAGTGGTCATGGAGTCGGAGATCGGGGACGTGATCAGGCCCTCGGAGATCGGGGACGTGATCAGGCCCGAGGGCTGGGCCGTTTGGGACGGGATTGACTTCCACCAGAACTGCTACTATACCGAGTACAATAACAGGGGGCCCAACGGCGATCCCAGGCTCAGGGCCGAGTGGGTCAAAAGGCACGAGCCCATCAACAAGGAGGCGTCCCTCTTCCTGAACGAGAACTGGCTGGGGGACGTCACCTGGCCGAGGGATGCCAGGGAAAAGTTTATCGACAGTTTCGTCAAGAGCTAGTTAGTATAATCAAATTGCTATCTAGGTTGTTAATTAAAAGCTCGATTGGCTTGGACCTGCCGTGCATCAAGCACGATGAGTTTTAATTTGTTACCTTAAATTTTTATTAATTGTTTTGTCATAGAAATTTTTTTAAATATTTTATTTGTAATTATTTACGAAAATTATAAATGAAAAGTGAGGTAAATTTCTCTCCTCTTTTATCGTTGTTATTGCTATTTTATTATCAGTTCTTTCTTTAATTTGTTGTGGACGTGGCTGAAGCGCTGACTGGGACTAAGATCGCAATGCAACAACATCAAACAATAATAGAAAAGAATTATGTGTGTTAGTTCTACTTCCAGCTAGTGTTATTTCTAGTGGTATGTTAGTTCTAGTTGAGCCTCTGTTAGTTCTAGGGGTTCTCGTATTAGTTCTAGCTGATGTCATGATAGTTCTAACTTTTAGCTAGTGTTATTTCTAATATAAGCGTTAGTTCTAGTTGTATGTTAGTTCTAGTTGAGCCCCTATTAGTTCTAGCGGCTCTCGTGTTAGTTATAGTTGATTTCATGTTAGTTCTACTTCCAGCTAGTTTTATTTCTAATATAAGAGTTAGCTCTAATGGTATGTTAGTTCTAGTTGAGTCCATGTTAGTTCTAGTGGTTCTCGTGTTAATTCCAGCTAATTTCATGTTAGTTCTACTTCTAGCTAGTGTTATTTCTAATATAAGCGTTAGTTCTAGTGGTATGTTAGTTCTAGTTGAGCTCCTGTTAGTTATAGCGGTTCTCGTGTTAGTTCTATCTGATTTCATATCAGTTCTACTTCTAACTAGTGTTATTTCTAATATAAGCGTTAGTTCTAATGGTATGTTTGTTTTAGCGGTTCTCGTGTTAGTTCTAGCTGATTTCATACTAGTTCTACTTACAGCTAGTGTTATTTCTAATATAAGTGTTAGATTTAGTGGTATGTTAGTTCTAGTTGAGTTCTAGAGGCTCTCGTGTTAGTTCTAGCTGATGTCATATTAGTTCTACTTCTAGCTAGTGTCATTTCTAATATATGCGTTAGTTCTAATGGTATGTTAATTCTTGTTGAGCCCCTGTTAGTTCTAGAGGTTCTCGTGTTAGTTCTAGCTGATTTCATGTTTGTTCTACTTACAACTAGTGTTATTTCTAATATAAACGTTAGATGTAGTGGTATGTTAGTTCTAGTTGAGCCCTTGTTAGTTCTAGGGGCTCTCGTGTTAGTTCTAGCTAATGTCATATTAGTTCTAACTTTCAGCTAGTGTTATTTCTAATATAAGCATTAGTTCTAGTGGTATATTAGTTCTAGTTGAGCCCCGTTAGTTCTAGCGGTTCTTGTGCTAGTTCTAGCTAATTTTATGCTAGTTCTACTTCCAGCTAGTGTTATTTCTAATATAAACATTAGATCTAGTGGTATGTTAGTTCTAGTTGAGCCCATGTTAGTTCTAGGGGCTCTCGTGTTAGTTCTAGCTGATGTCATGTTAGTTCTAACTTTCAGCTGGTGTTATTTCTAATATAAGAGTTAGTTCTAGTGGTATGTTAGTTCTAGTTAAGCCCCTGTTAGTTCTAACGGCTCTCGTGTTAGTTCTAGCTGATTTCATATTAGTTCTAGTTACAGCTAGTGCTATTTCTAGTGGTATGTTAGTTCTAGTTGAGCCCTAATTAGTTTTAGCGGTTCTTGTATTAGTTCTACCTGATTTTATGTTAGTTCTACTTCTAGCTAGTGTTATTTCTAATATAAGCGTTAGAATCTAGTGGTATGTTAGTTCTAGTTGAGCCTATGCCCGTGTTAGTTCTAGCTGATGTCATGTTAGTTCTAACTTTCAGCTAGTATTATTTCTAATATAAGTGTTAGTTCTAGTGGTATGTTAGTTCTAGTTGAGCCCCTGTTAGTTCTAGGGGCTTTCATGTTAGTTCTAGCTGATGTCATGTTAGTTCTAACTTTCAGCTAGTGTTATTTCTAATATAAGCGTTAGTTTTAGTGGTATATTAGTTCTAGTTGAGCCCCTGTTAGTTCTAGCGGTTCTCGTGTTAGTTATAGTTGATTTCGTGTTAGCTCTACTTCCAGCAAGTATTATTTCTAGTGGTATGTTAGTTCTAGTTGAGCCCCTGTTAGTTTTAGCAGTTCTCGTATTAGTTCTAGCTGATTTCATGTTAGTTCTACTTCCAGTTAGTATTATTTCTAATATAAGTGTTAGAATCTAGTGGTATGTTAGTTCTAGTTGAGCCCCATGTTCGTGTTAGTTCTAGCTGATGTCATCTTAGTTCTAACTTTTAACTAGTGTTATTTCTAATATAAGCGTTAGTTCTAGAGGTATGTTAGTTCTAGTTGAGCCCCTGTTTGTTTTAGGGGCTCTCGTGTTAGTTCTAGCTGATATCATGTTAGTTCTAACTTTTAGCTAGTGTTATTTCTAATATAAACGTTAGTTATAGTGGTATGTTAGTTCTAGTTAAACCCTTATTAGTTCTAGAGGTTCTCGTGTTAGTTCTAGCTGATGTAATGTTAGTTCTACTTCTAGCAAGTGTTATTTCTAGTGGTATGTTAGTTCTAGTTAATCCCCTATTATTCCTAGTGGTTCTTGTGTTAGTTCTAGCTGATTTCATGTTAGTTCTACTTCTAGTTAGTGTTATTTCTAATATAAGCATTAGTTCTAGTGGTATGTTAATTCTAGTTGAGCCCCTGTTAGTTCTAGTAGCTCACGTGTTTGTTCTAGCTGATGTCATGTTAGTTCTAACTTCTAGCTAGTGTTATTTCTAATATAAGCGTTAGTTCTAGTGGTCTGTTAGTTCTAGTTGAGTCTCTGTTAGTTCTAGTGGCTCTCGTGTTTGTTCTAACTGATGTCTTGTTAGTTCTAAATTGTAGCTAGTGTTATTTCTAATATAAGCGTTAGTTCTAGTGGTATGTTAGTTCTAGTTGAGCTCCTGTTAGTTCTATCGGTTCTCGTGTTAGTTCTAGCGATTTCATGTTAGTTATACTTCTAGCTAGTGTTATTTCTAATATAAACGTTAGTTCTAGTGAGTTAAGTTAAACCTAACATGAATTAGAATTAGAACTTTTAGGACCAACATAAAATGAGTTAGAACTAACAAAGAGCCCAAGAGGACCAATGCCCAAGGCCCTATCAAAGACCTTTAAATATATATTGTAGTTGTAGAGGTTTGAACTCCTGACCTCCTCCCCAAATTCCTAAGCTTTACCACTAGACAAAGTAGCCAAAGTATTAATGTTAGTTCCACTTAAAGTTAACTCTAATATGAATTAGAACTAATATGAAATAAGTTAG